TGACCATTTGAAACATCAATGCAGGAAATGTATTTGCAAAGAAATCTATACGATTGAACTGTTAATAAATTCAACTTTTCATTTAGCAATCTGGTTAAACTTTTTCAAAGTGTGTGTAACCAAACATTGAACTTGATGAAAGTAAGTGCATTGTCTGACAGATTTTCTATGCAGATAATGCATAAGTGATGAGGCTTTGTAAAGTGATTCCGGTAAGTAAATTCTGACCTAGCCAATATACACAAACAGACCAGTTTGGTTACCTTCAGTAATTTATTGTAACTGTAGTTCACATTTATTAAATAATCATACTAGAGTTATAATACTGATTTTATAGTACTGAGTTTATTTATTGAAATACAAACGTAAAAATAGGTCTGCTGTATGGAGTGAAAACTTGGAGAACTCTCAAAGTCATAATCCACAAGATACAAGCATTTATTAACAGTTATCTAAGCAAAATTTTACTCATCCGTCGCTCAGACACCGTCAGTGACAACCTATTGAGAGATAGAACAAACTAGAACCCAACAGAGAAAGAAATTACAGAAAAGCGCAGGAGATGGAATGGGAACACATCAAGGGAAACGCTCAACTGCATTATGAGGGAATCACTCACTTGGAATCCTCAAAGCTGAAGTAGAAGAAGCAGATAAAAAAACAGATTACCCTGAGAATTGGAGGCAAGCACTCAAAATTTGAACAGCAATCGGATAGAACTGGAAAGGAAGGCCTATGCTCCATAGAGGGTAACAGGCGTAAGTAACAGTTGGTTTAGTCGAACTGCAATGAACAACAACGAGTTTTCATGAAAATAGAGTTGCGTTTCACAATGAAGATAATTTTTTAATAGTTGCACCAGAAAATCTCACCTAAGATCTTTCGTTGTTAAAGCAAGAGACGCTTAAAATCCATTATTCGAACAAATTCATCAAGCTAGCACAATTAAACAAATCATTCTATATGAAGCAATAATCACATGTACTCAGTATGAACTAAATGATAATGATCGAAACGGAAATGTCAATTTTAAAAACCCTGTTATCGAATCAACAACTTTTCAATGTATCACATCTACTTAAGGTTTCATTAGTTGAGATGACTTAAGTTTATTAGGAAACATTGGTTAAACAAAGGAATTTCATGTACAAATTAGTTCAAAAGTAAAATATTATCTTATAATTCACTAAATAACCATCTCTTTTTCATACAGTTCAGTTAGGTTAATAATAAATGAACGCTTTGATTACTAATTTCTAATACTACAAATTAGTGTCTCCATTTTACGAATAAATTTTGTCTGATTAGCGAAATTCAAAAAAACATAACTAACTAAAACTCATTATTGTGCATTCTGACACGATTTCGAGTACTGTTTACATTTATTTTACTTAAAAATATAACTATTATGTAATCAGGTAATTCAAAACAAATGCAAGCAAGTTATCGGGCTGACACATAATCTCAACTGAAAAGTCTAATTAGCATTTTAGTAACTTGGACTCAGTCTAATCATGAATGAATTCATGTGGGTGTATACTAAACCATAGAATAATGCATTGGTTGTGCACATTGTCAATCGACAGTTTTGTTTTCACTGCCGGTTGATAATATAGTAGTGGCCTTAAGTGACCCTTTTGTTAACTAACAAAACATTTACATCCACATATGTACATTTCTCTGTTTATGAATGTGTATACGCTGAATTGCTTAGAATGTAAACAACTCAAATTTCATTTTGAAATCAATTACACTAATTTTGTCATACAGGCCAACATTGATTAAATTAAGTGAAATATTTTGTAAGAGAAAATAGTTTGAATAAAATTTATGTAGGTAACATAAATAAAAGTAAAATGTAGCAATACACACTCTAGTAAACTTGGATGAATATTCCAATAAGTGATTAGGAAGGTCACTCAAACAAATCCTACTAAGTAATTGTTTTAACCTCAAATAGTTGGACCTCAGGCGTTGGTCTCGTGTTATTTAAGACATAACAGTTGAATGTCTGTACACTAGTGGTGGAACTTATAATACTGAAACAACTGAAGCTGTAATCTTATAGAGTAATGTTGAAGATATTATTCACTCATTAAGATGAATATTGGATAATTCCATTTATTATAAGCAGATTCTGTTCCATGACAGCTCAATTTCAAACAAACCGTCACCAATCAAAATCAAGTGAATTACATACACTTAACTGATCTCATTTGGAGAAACACTGTAAACTGGGTGGGATATTTCAAGCAAATAAAAGGTCATTTCAATGAATACCCGAAATTTCACATGTCCAAATACGGAAAATCCGACCTTTATGCAGGAACGATGCTTTGCCTTTCCGGATTGAGTCAATATAAAACTTAGTTACATAGATTCTTCTTGTTCTTAGTTAATCCAAAATGTTTTAACTTCGCTTGATAATTCGTTGTACAACAGTGAAAGCTCTCAAACTAATTGGTAACGTTCTATGATGAATTCTTCTATTAGAAACTTCTTCATTTGATTCCGCTATCAACGGATAGTGTTCCAATCTTTTTCACTTAAATCAGAGTTGAACTATATCTCTGTTATATTACACTGATAAATTGGTAATCAGAATATTCGTTAGATTATTCACTAAATAACGATTTTATTAACAGGTTTTCAGATAGCCGCTTCCGGAAATCCAGCAGCATAAGTTGACGAATTCGGAAAACGTTTAGATGTTCTATGTCATAAAAAATTGCCAACCAGAACATTATTCAGTACTAAAACGACACTAGTTACGATATATTCACTGGGCCATGAATGTCATGTTCAATAACAAATTTGTTTATTATTAGTTTATCATCAAATCAGTCAACTTTATTCATGACGTACTCAAGATCAATGGGCAAATACTTGGAGATTAAAACACCCCTATATTAAAATTTCTTGGAGAGTATAATGAAAAACTAGCGTGATCCGACAAAACGCGAGGTATGTTTCTACAGTACACTTCGAAAAACTATGCGATACATTTATTAAAGTAGTTGGTTACAAAAATAATGAAAAATCACAATGTAAGAAACGATGAACTATTATATGTTTCAGATCATTTTCATAAATAACTTTTTCAATGTCAACTCCGCCTGCAGCATTTTTAAAGTAACCGGCGGTCATAACACCGGAGAAAGAAAGAGGCTTTCAATTGTTTTGGAATGTCAAAACATCACACTAAACGTTGTTGCCAAGACTGAAGCCGCTTCTATCAGTATAGCAGAATGAATCGTCTCTCATACAGGAGAGATGTCCTTGTTTATATGAGGCAGCTTTTGCTAAGCCAGACCAGCGCTTAAGTTCACTTCAGAGATTCGTCTTAGGCTGCAATTACCATCAACTTAGGTCGTGTCAGACGACGGAAATGTTTGAAAATGCTGCTCTGCAGCATCACCTTTCTTTATGGTCGGATCTGTTTCTTACTTACGCCTGTTATCCACGTTGGAGCATAGGCCACTGACCTGTGTTTTCTCCAACCTACTCTGTCATGGACCTTCCTTCACTTTTCGTTCTTTTCCTGTCTGTCTCCGATACTCGGCATAATGTGTTCTTTGGACTTTCACTCTTCTATTGGTCTTGGGGATTCCTAATGAGGGGTTGTCTTGTGATGCAGTTGGGTGATTTCCATAATATGTGTCCTATCTAGCTTCTTCGCTTTTTCTAAATTTCTTTCCCAACCAGCCCTACTTAATCCATTCAACATAGAAGCTGTACTCACAGACATCTTAGTCGATCTTGACCTTGTAGTGGAACACTTCTACGAGGAAAACTTAATTGGTGAAAAATAAACATTTATTACTGTACTCGTTGTAGAATTCTTTTTGAATGTTTTGTTTTTGGGAAAATCCCTCCATGTTTACATATTTTTGCCATGACATGATGGACTTTTTCTCTTGACATTTTTGGTATTTTATTTGATTCCAATTTGAGATTTTACCATTGTATGTCGTTATTCTTTCCATATTTTGTACCTATATTGAAGTTTTTGTGTTTGCTTCTGAATTGTACATATATTGTTTAAATTTGATATAATATGGCTACCGCCACATTTTTGGATAGACGCAGTGGCTGCTGAACTTAGTGTCACTTACTAGCTATTGTAATAGATACTCTACGGAGTAATTTAGTCCTGGAAGAAACATAAACATCGTAAGTCTCTGTATTTCCATTTTTTATAACAATAGAGACGGTTTTCTCCTAGAATTTTCGGCTTTCTGATTTGGCTGGGACGGGGATCTAGGAGAATCGTACCGGTGTGTTTCTATTGGACGCGATTAGGACAGCCGCTGGCGAAATAAATTCTACAGTCTGATGTTTGCTCTTCTTGCGTGAATTATACTTGGAAATATTTACCAGAACGCATATAATTGGATCTATTTGGATTATTAAGAATTACAAGGAAACAATTGGAATTTTAATCGTTTATCTTAATTCTGAACTGAATTTTGGAACTATTCTATTTTGTATCTGTTACTCTTCGTATTGAATCCCATTTATAATGTCAAGCAGGAAGAAGGCAAACAGGAGGACGGTGGAAGAGCTCGACGGATCACAGGGCTCTAGGCAAGTCGTTGACGATAATCTTTTTATGGGTAATCCTCATGTTATGTCTGATATTTATTATTGTAAGTCACCCTCGGCAGGCATTAAGGAATCAGGATTAAGTGAGAGTCCTAAAGTACCAGAGACCGATCAGATACGTAAGTCATCGATAGAGGGTTTAGAATTACCTAAGGTTGAACTTTCATATTTTGATGGAAGGTCTCGCGACTATTTTAAGTTCATACGACAGATAGAGACGTTTATAGAACCTCGAATCAAGGATGATCAAGTTCGTTTATTGTATTTAATTCATTATTGTAAGGGAAAAGCGAAAAATGCGATCGAAGGCTGTCTTATAATGGACCCACAGGCAGGATATAAGAGAGCTAAGGTTATTTTAAAACAGCTTTTTGGGCAGTCACATGTGATAGCGCGAGAAACCTTAGAGGACTTATTTAAAACCGGGAATGCGGACTTTAATGATCCTGAAGTATTGACGAATTTGGCGATTAAAATGCAGAATGTGGCTTTAACCTTAGAACAGTTAAATTGCACAGCTGAACTCAACTCTATGGTTACTTTAGAGCGAATAGTTAGGGTTCTGCCTCGGTATATGCAAGTTCAATGGGCCGAATTAGCGGTAAAATGGATTGAAGAAGATAGAGAGCCTACCTTTGCTGAACTTACTGAGTTTGTATTATCACGAGCAAGAATAGCTGAGAGTAGATTCGGTCGGCTGGTTAATCGGCCAAAACTAGGCAGAGATGTAAAAATGAACTGTCACCTTCAATCGAAACCGGCGACCATACCGAATACTAGACATAACTGTAGCATTTGTACTGGTGATCATTTGGTTGTTAAATGCCCTCAGTTTTTAGAGCTTACTGTTCAAGATAGATGGAAGCAGGTCAGGAAAAAAGGGATGTGTTTCGCCTGTCTGAAGCAAGGGCATAAGGTCAGTGATTGTAAAACGACAATGCGTTGTGGTATCGACAAGTGTGAGAAAAAACATCATGTTTTGCTGCACGAAGACTCGACCAGCAAAAGGGTGGATGATAAACGTGAATCCCAGCACTGTTGCGGACTCACTAGGTCATTAAGCAGACAGGTATGCCTAGGAGTGGTCCCAGTACGTGTGAAATCGGAAACAGCAGAGATTATAGGATACGCTCTTTTAGACAATGGCTCTGATTCTACGTTGATAACGACAACTTGTGCAAGGGCTCTTGGATTGCCAGAAAATTGCGAGTTAGTTGTGGTACAGACCGTGAGTGGTGACAAAACGGTTGCATGTACGGATGCTACCTTTGAAGTGCTTTCTTTAGACCAGTTGGAGCACATCGTGATCGAAGGAGCGATGGTAGTACCTAGCCTACCGAGGCATAAGCCCACCATGTTAGCAATGAAAAATCTAACAAAATGGCCGCACTTAAAGGATGTACCGGTAGAAAGTCTAGAATCTGAAGACGTTTTAATGCTCATCGGATGCGACGTGCCAGAGGCACATTGGGTGTTAGAACAACGTCTAGGAGGGAGGAAGGCGCCGTATGCGATAAAGACACTACTTGGGTGGACTGTGTTTGGACCTACATCATATTCGGAATATAGAAAAAGAGTTGTTAACCATATTAGTAACGCCCACGATCTAGAGGATCAGATACGCAAACTATATGATGTAGAGTTTGCTGATGTTTATTCCAGCGACAAGTCAGCGTCAGTAGAAGACCAAATAGCTTTAGAGATAGTGGAAAGAGGTACTCACTACGTTGATGGTCACTTCGAAGTCCCAATTCCATGGAAACGGGACCCCTCCACGAAGGGGACTAACTATGAGGTAGCTAATAGTAGGCTACAAAGTTTAAGGCGAAGGTTGATGAGAGATGATAGGCTACACGACAGGTACGCCAAATGTATGGAGGATAATGTCCGTAAGGGTTATGCGCAAAGGGTACCTGAGTTGCACCTAAGGTCGGATTACCGCCCTCGATGGTATCTACCCCATCACCCCGTGTTGAACCCCAAAAAACCAGATAAGCTGAGGGTGGTCTTGGACTGTGCCGCTAAATTTGCTGGAACTTCTTTAAATGATATGATCTACCAAGGGCCGGATAGCACCGCTGATCTGGTAAGCATATTATTACGTTTTCGCAAGGAAGCAGTAGCAGTATCAGCAGACGTTGAGGAAATGTTTATGCAAGTAAAGGTACCCGAAGGTGACCGGGGAGCGTTAAGATATCTATGGTGGGAAGGTGGGAATACGTCTAAAGAGCCTTCTGAATTTCAAATGACCTCTCATCCATTCGGAGCTACGTCATCCCCGTTTTGCGCGAACTTCGCTATGAATAAAACAGCTCTAAGCTTCTCGAGTGATTATGAGCAGTACGTTATTGATGCGGTAAAAAATAACTTTTACGTTGATGACTGCCTGATATCCTTTTCGAGTTGCGATCAAGCGAAGAGATTTGTCACGCAGATAACCGAGTTGTTACGTAGAGGTGGGTTTAACTTAAAAAAGTGGGTTACCAACTCGGAAGAAGTGAGGTCTATGCTACCGGATAAGGGCGTCAAGGAATCATTGTTTGGAATATCAGCGGATTGTATCGTCACTCATCGAACGCTTGGTATAGAATGGGATGTAGTGCATGACGTATTCAAGTTCCGCTTTGACGCACCTGATAAACCAGTGACGAGGAGAGGAATCTTGTCTGTTGTTTCGTCCCTGTTCGATCCGTTGGGTCTGATCGCTCCGGTGTGCCTCACAGCTAAACTACTTCTGCAAGGATTATGTAAATCCCAAATAGGATGGGATCAACCTCTCAACGAACCGTACGTGTCCAAATGGTTAGATTGGTTAAGTTTCATGCGTCAGTTAGGACATGTCACCGTTACCCGAGGTATTAAGAATAGAATCGACGAAGCTGAGGCAAAAGTGGAGTTGCACCTGTTCAGTGATGCTTCAGAGATTGGTTATGGGGCGGTTGCTTACGCACGGGTAAGCTATGCGAAGGTACAACCCTATTGTGTCCTGTTATACAGCAAGTCTAGGGTGGCACCTATTAAACCAGTCACGATACCGAGGTTAGAAATGGCGGCAGCGGTCTTAAGTGTAAGACTGAGCGAGGTGATACGGAAAAGCCTGCCCAACTTCTTCTGTGGAGTGAGTTTTCATACGGATTCTATGATAGTGCTATACTATATTAAAAATGCTGAAAAACGATACACCAGCTACATAGCTAACCGTCTTGCCGTTGTTCATCAGTATACTAGTATTGAGCAATGGAGTTATGTCAGCTCATCACTGAATCCGGCAGACTGGACTTCAAGAGGTATACAAAGGATGAATGATCTAGAGACTTGGTTTAAATGTCCAACTCTGCTGTACAATGACTCGAGTACCACCACTTACTGCCCAGAACCTACTATGGATCAGGTAGAGTTCAGAAAAGCTAAGGTCAATTTGAGTAGTACGGCTAACTCTCCGTCACCTATCTTGTCCTATTACTCGGAATGGATGAAATTGGTTAGGTCTGTAGCGTGGCTCAGAAGGTTCATAGACTTCTGGATAATACTTCATTCGCCGAGTATTGAAGGTTCCGTCGCGACAGGTTACCTAAAGGTCAAGGAGCTCGAGTCGGCCAAACGGAAGATTCTGATGGTTGTTCAAAGGGAGGCATACGGAGAATTACTAAACGAATCCAACGTTAGTCATAAGGAAGTGAGTAATAAACGTCTGAGAGGTTTATCACCAATAATGATTGATGGGTTACTCTGCGTCGGAGGCCGCTTAATGTACTCCGAACTCCCGAGCGAGTCGAAACATCCTGTGATTTTACCTGGTCGACATAGGGTAACCGAATTGATAGTTAGACACTACCACAAGGAAGAAGGACATATGGGAACCTCGCACGTGTTAGCTACGATCCGCAAGTACTATTGGATAGTTAAGGGCACCAGTACGGTTAAAAGAGTAATAGGAAGATGTGAAACTTGTCGAAGGTTCACCCTATGTCCAGGAAACCAGCAGATGGCGCCACTCCCAGTTTACAGAGTGCAGAAGGGTTGGTATAGTTTCGCGACGACAGGTGTGGACTACTTCGGACCCCTTATGGTCAAGAAGGGTAGGTCACTAGAAAAAAGGTATGGTTGTATGTTTACCTGCCTGCAAACAAGAGCAGTACATATTGAGATGGCATACAGTCTGAATACCGATTCATTTATAATGGCCTTAATACGTTTCATCGGAAGAAGAGGGAGACCGACGGATGTATTTAGTGACAACGGATCTAACTTCGTGGGGGCAGTTGCAGAACTAAAGAGCTTCGTGCAACAGTGGAATCATCAAAAAATTAGTAAGGAATTATCGTCAAGACAAATTCAATGGCATTTCAACCCTCCACTAGCTAGCCATAGAGGTGGAGTTTGGGAACGAATGATTAGATCTATACGAAGGCTGCTATTATTGATCACCAGGGAACAAGTGTTAACAGATGAAACCTTAGGTACGTATCTGATTGAAATCGAGAGAATTCTAAACGATCGACCCCTAACCCCGGTGGTCCAGGATGCTAACGACCGACTAGCTTTATCACCCAATAGCCTACTATTGTTGAGGGAGTGTGACGGAATAGCGGAGGAAGGAGGCATTAGCGACAAGTTCCACAAACGTTGGAAACAGGTAAATTACTTAGCCAACGTGTTTTGGAAGAGGTGGTTGAAGGAGTATTTGCCTTGTTTACAAACCCGTCAGAAATGGCTAAAGGAGCATCGCAATTTTCAGAAAGGAGACGTCGTCATTGTCACCTCGGATCTTACTACTCGTGGAAAATGGCCCTTAGGAATAGTAGAGGATTGCGAGACAGATAAGGACGGAAGGGTCCGAACAGTAGTCGTTCGTACTAATAATGGGGTAGCGAGAAGAGACATACGAAGAGTGTGTCTCCTAGAAGGGTCCAACTAGACAGGTCATATCCACATTGGGATGGCGGGTGGGCGTACTGCTGTAAGTCCTACACGTTATTCCGGTGTGGATTAGGGGATAACATGGGAACCCTAATTAAGGTGTCGTTAACGCTTGCTGTTTTTGCATGGAGGGATTTTGCGGGCCGGTGTAGAATTCTTTTTGAATGTTTTGTTTTTGGGAAAATCCCTCCATGTTTACATATTTTTGCCATGACATGATGGACTTTTTCTCTTGACATTTTTGGTATTTTATTTGATTCCAATTTGAGATTTTACCATTGTATGTCGTTATTCTTTCCATATTTTGTACCTATATTGAAGTTTTTGTGTTTGCTTCTGAATTGTACATATATTGTTTAAATTTGATATAATATGGCTACCGCCACATTTTTGGATAGACGCAGTGGCTGCTGAACTTAGTGTCACTTACTAGCTATTGTAATAGATACTCTACGGAGTAATTTAGTCCTGGAAGAAACATAAACATCGTAAGTCTCTGTATTTCCATTTTTTATAACAATAGAGACGGTTTTCTCCTAGAATTTTCGGCTTTCTGATTTGGCTGGGACGGGGATCTAGGAGAATCGTACCGGTGTGTTTCTATTGGACGCGATTAGGACAGCCGCTGGCGAAATAAATTCTACACTCGTTTCGTTTAACTGTACTAAAAACACTAACTTGAGAGCAACGTTCTTTTACGCGTTGCTGCCATTTTTAATACCTTGCTGCTCTATGCAACGCCTACTTTCTCCTTCAAATAAATATTGGACCACGGATTTATTGCTATATTATGTGACGGGGTAGTGGTGATCATAGTCAATCTCGGGTCGGTCACCACTGAAACCTATTAACAGTTTAAGAGATCAGCATGGTCATCAGACGAATCAAGAGAGGCAAAGTATCTGGATCAAACAACATTCCAGCTGGGGCACTGAAAACAGATGTAACACTAACTTCAAAGATACACCATATTCTCTTCAGCAAGGTTTGAGAGGAAGATCAGTCGTTGACCGATTGGATTGAAGAACACCTGATCAGGATATCTAATAAAGGTGATCTCAGCAAGTGTGAAACTTACAAGGGTATCACTCTTCTCTCAATACTAGGTAACGCCTAGTAGTACCTATTAAGTTGTATTACTGAAAGATGGAGATTACTTATGGCTACGGGTTTCTTGTAACAACTGGTGTCCGTCTACGAGACAGACTTGTATATGACACGTAAGGTTTGTTCAGTATTACAACCCAGTGAGCGTCAACACAGAATCCATATGCTGACAATTTTCTAATAAAGCTGACACATACAGCTGTTTGAATCTCTAAGGCTTGTTGTTAGTGGGACGTTTCGGCTAATACCAGTAAATCATATAATGGCATGACCGCCTCCCCTCAAGATTGCCAATCTTAGGATCAGACTATACAGCCGGTCTTTCAAGTGATTTCGTTCCATGAATCGGACTTTTGAGAAAAAGATTTCAAACCACGCTTGCGTAAGCGTCATTTCGCGATTCACGTAGAAAAATGACATGAGAACACCTACGTTATAGAGCCTTTTTAAGCATCGCAATCGTTAAGTGAATCAGGTGTAATAGAGACTGTATATTAAAATAAGTAAAAAATACATGTACATTTTTAGGGATTAGTTTGTCATTACAAATGTCTCATTTGGGATTCGGTTTTTAGTATCCCGTAAAACTGCCATCAGAAAAGACAAAGGAAAATTATATTATTTAAGGAATGTTACATCGAAATGGTTTAGAGATATTAGCAGTCACACAAAACGCCGCAGACGTAGGACGGAACCAAACTGAGCGAAGGAGCCAGAAGCGACCAAAACGACCAAGTTTGAAACCATAAGTATGACAGATATATTCAGAACAAGAACATCGACTGAGTGTATTGACAAGGGCATGATTTATCAGGCCAGCTTTCGTCAAGATTGACTAAAGTCGACGGTACCGATCGGAAGATGGTCGCAGATGTGGGCTCAGGATAAAAATATAATAAAAATAGAAATGTGTAACATACATGTAGTATGAGGATAAAGTCCTATAACATTTGATTGCAAGATCAGTCGCAAAAGCACACAGGTAGGCCTACTCAGCGATCAGAACTTGAGGCGGTAGTCTCGTGAGCCCGCAGTTTCATCCGAAGTCAAATGCGGAGTGATTTGCTGATCCGGATGTGGGACTGAGTTCTTTGATGCATCTGACGTGGTGTCCGAAGTGGTAGATGTAGGGATTGTAATATCCATTTCGGCAGGCTTTGTTAGGGAAAATCCCTCCATATATAGATTTGTAATATGTTCTTACCTATTCTTTCAGTTCTTCATTTTGGTAATCTTTTTAGTTCTATTTAGGGATGTTAATATTTGTATTTTATTAAAATTTCTATTTTTTGGCCCTTATTGAGTTTCTATGTCTCATTCCGGACTGTATTATGTTGTTTAAGTTGATACTTAATTACGGTGACAGCCATATCGATTTTGTTCCTTTGGCGGTTGTTACTGGAAGTGTTGACTGGAAGTGTGCAATTTGGATTGGGATTTAGAGCATTCTTCCAGAATTGGAAATACTCTGTGTTATTATTGAAGGAATAACAGTAGTAATATTGTTTAGTTAATGATGTATATTTATATTTACGATTAATAATAGAACCGTTACTTACCTAGATCACTTGTCTTGGATTGCAACTGGGCAAGACACGTATCTAAACTTCCTGAGCAGTTATTCCTAAATCCAAACCTCAGTTTGCATCCTAAAGTTCTAAACATTATTAATAATTAGAGTTTTTGGATCCGAGAATTCTAAACAATATTATTCGATTTGAATCTGGATTCCACAGCTCTAAACTATACTAATAGGTCGGAGGTTTTGGAGTTTTTTGGATTTCAGGTACTACAATGAATTCTCGTATAAAGAAGCCAAGTTGGAAGCTAAGGAGACAAAGTGAACGACGAATCTTTGTCATAACGCAAGTGCCTTTTGATAAGTCCAAGGTTTATGGTTGACTGCCAGATGGAGACGATTATCATTCTAGTGTATATAGTCGTAAGTCTTTATCAGAGGGCACGATAAATCTCAGTTTAAATGAATGCCTTGAAAAACCTGGAAATAATGTAATGCCTATAGCGCCTGTCGTAGGTCTAGAACTACCCAGGGCTAAGTTGAGTTATTTTGATGGACAGCCACGAAGGTATTAGAAATTTATGAGTCGATAACTATAGCCTGAGGTCGCTATATTAAATTTACTACTGCAAGGATAGGGCAAAAGCAGCCATTGAAGGTTACGTCATGATGGAAGCCTCTTCCGGCTATAAGAAAGCTAAGGAAACGCTTAAACGGATTTTCGGCCAACCTCATGTGATAACCAGAGAAACGTTGGAAGAGCTGTTTATTCCAAGAAATGCTGATTATATTGATGCAGAACAGTTATCGAACTTAGCTATAAGGATGGAAAGTTACGCTATGGATTTGGAGTAGATGAACTATACCTCTGACATGAATTCCTTAGTAACTTTGGAGAGGATAGTGAAGCTTTAACCTCACCTCATGCAACTCCAGTGGTCAAAGATGGCAGTTAGGTAGATTGAATGGGACAGGGAGCCGACATTCACCGAGCTCACCGAGTTTATATCGTCCCGTGCAAAAGTATTAAGTAGTAGATTTAGACGGTTAGCGAATCGCCCAAAAATAGGACATGATATGAAAATAAACTGTCATCTGCATTCGGGACAGAGGAATTCTTCGATTGTTTTTAGATCTGCATTATACCTGAAATTTAGGAAAAGAGCTGTTAATCATATTAGTAAACTACAGTCCCCGGAAGACCGAATACGTAAGCCTTATCATGTAGAGCTTGCTGATGTCCATTCTACTGACAAGACAGGATCTATAGAAGGCAAGGTGGCTTTTTCGAAGATAGCGATGAGGGAAGATAGGAAAAGGGTTAGGGGACAAGGGGGATCCGAGAAACGTGAGGGTAGACGTCCTCTGATTGTTCGGGATGGTCGTAACTCTTCTGCCACGTGAGGAATGAAACGTCGGTAGAAGTTAACCAAGTTGAGAAACGCTTTCAATTTCTTGAGTGAGGACGGTATAGTGTACTCCATGAATGCACGGACTTTGGCTTCACAAGGTAGAATACCCTCATGCTTAATGATGTGACCCAAGAATTTTATTTCTGCCTTGCCCTTTACACACTTATCTGGGTTGAATTATAATCCATTATCCGAAAGGTTTTGGAAAAAGAGCGTAAGAAGTTGATAATGTTCATCTACATTTGATGATGAGAATTGCAAATCATCAGAATAGACGTGAACAAAATCGATTTCTCGTACTATGCTATCGATAAACCTTTGGAAAGCTTCAGCAGTACTCCGTAATCCGAATGGCATTCGTAGGAACTCAAGAAAAACGAAAGGAGTCATGATAGCAGTTTCTTCAATATCTTCAAGAGCGACCGGGATCTGATGATATGCTCGAACCAGATTAATCTTAGAACAAATAGTTGTGTCCTTGAGTGATGCCGTGATGTCGTGTATGTGGGGGATGGGATAGCTATCGAACCGTGTAGCTACGTTTAGTGCACGGTAGTCGCAGCATGGTCGCCAACTAATCCAATCGTTTTTGCTAACCATTTGGGGTGGTAAGGCCCAAAGGCTTTGAGGACGAACAATACCAGTAGATAATAAATTTTCAAACTCACGTTTAGCGATAGCTAATTTGTCCGGTGCCAGTAAGAGAGGTTTTGCCGTGACTAGTGGTCTGCGGGTGACGATATGATGTACCACATGGTTAGTTGCCGATGGAATCTCCTCGAGTGGTTTAGTTAGCTGCAGGAATTTTTCAAATAAAGCGTGGAATATGTCATCACACGAATGAAATACAATTGTGATACTGTACGCGTCTGTTGGAACGTTAAGACCATTGGATTTAATATTCAACGAAGTACCGAATAACTGCAGCCTACGTCAATGGAGTAGTAACTCATGAGGCTGTAAGGAATCGATACTGAGTACGACTATGGGAACATCAGCAAGCATGAACGTCCATAGATACTGTCATCGATTATTCAGGTTCATCGTCGGCGGTCGTGTACCGTAGGTAGGAATTGCAGAGCCATTCACAGCGCGTGGTCGAAGCATCGTAGCTTGTGACTTGCTGCTACCAAACGGCACGACAGAAACTTGCACACTTGTAGCCACCAAGTAACTAGCGTTAGTGCGGAAATTGTGTACGTAAAATAAACTAACAACCTGAAGTGATGGGGAGGAGATAGGTGAGAATGCAGTGATTTGCACCTCGTAGTCTATTATTATAGCTATCCACCATTTCGAAACGTTGCTGCAATTATAATATATATTGAAAGACATTATTAATAGCCTTGCAACATTATAAAAATGATGATAGATGAATAATAGACTCACCGTAATTGACTTCTTTGGAAGAAACGTCAGCTCACCAATTTTAGTGGTGATCGAGTGGAGATGGACTATGATCACCACCAAATACTAATTACGAACCCTTCACTGAGAAGATAAAAAATCCATGGTTAAGAATATATTTGCTGGCTACTTCGTGATGTCAAAAGAACACCGAAATCTAACCAGAAAAGATGGGTGAGATTACAGAGCTATTGGAGCAAAGAACGGCAGCAACACAAACAGAAAATTTGAGTATAAAAAGTGTGCTATAAACAAAAAGTACAGTCAACCGATCACTGGTAAAATTGGTTACGATAATGAATGTTTCTATCAGACCAATCGCGTTCTTCTCATAAAAGTGGATTTACTACACCCTTTATCTCTTGTATCGTGTAAGCAAGTCTGGCATGCAACATCCATCGCTAATGTAATTTCTTTCTGCTCACAGGCTGCATTTTTAGCCCTGAGTACTGAATACCTCAACGCTTACCATAATACTGGCTCATTTTGAAAGTTGTAGTTTCTTTTACAAATGTACCCATATAGAATATTAGTAACAGCTAGTTCAGGCGATAATGCCCATGCTAATTTAGCATTCCTGGACTTACGAAGATCATCACCGATTTTCTCCAACAAATGTATAACCTCTTAATCTAGAAACAACTATTCAGCTCACAATTCGAAAACTAAACTCAAGTTTAGTCAAATACGATCAAAGTATCAATAACCAGCAGCAAGCAACAGCTAAATTTAACTATAAAAGTAAAAAGTAGACGAATTCAGACACCAGTCACCTTCGCAAAGGAGACTGGGAAATATAAGACAAGGTTACATGAGTCTTCATTAAAAGTTAAAATGCAAAGCGCCGTTAGGGAGCATATAATACAACACTGTTTAGTAAAACACTTTGCAGCGTATTTGCTCCGTCACATCTTTCTGGTAAGAGATATTCCATTTTGGAAAACAGTTCATAGAATCTTATGTCCAAAGAATTAGAAATAATTTAACTGTTACACTGGAGGAGGAGACGATTAAACAGTTGTTTCAGCACGTTTCTATAGAATCACAGAGTGGTCAGCTTTTATAAACCATGAATCAATTAGTGAATGACTATCATTAGAAATCAGGACGGCATTAGTCACATCTTATCTCAGTGACTGCGGTAGTTTCGTTTATAATGTGATAAATCTTGGATTTTTTTCTAATTCACCTTTACTGAGTCTTTAAGCCCTACCAAACACCAAAGCAACGAAATGATACCGTTAGTCGAGTTTATTCATCAGTATTGTTGGACAGTAAATTAGGTTATCGGATCAGGACTTGTCAACGACCTATTTATTCATCCGAAAATTAGGAATTCATAAGATATAACACACGCCCAACTAAATTCGAGCCCTTCAAAAATTAAATATCTGCCTTGGAAAAAGCAGCTCAGTATGAAGTAGACATATGCAACGCATCCGAAACCTTACTCTATCAACTCCTAGTTTCGTTCATCAGTTAATATTGATCTCACGTTGGCTTTATTTCTGGTTGCTGTCTATTTATCCCTCTATTGCATGTAAGAGCATTCCATGTGCTCATCGGCTCATCTTCTTCTCTTGTTCTTTCTTCTTCCAGATAATCTCACAAATTGCTACTCACACACTCCCCAGCACACAAGATACCTTTAGGCTAAACGCAAACCAACCAAATGCTAAAGTTACACGTACATGACCTAGACCTGTAGCGTTTAAAATATCCGGACTAACGTAACGCATTCGAAACTTTACGCTACCATCTTCTAACTCCGATTATCAGTTTGCCTTAATCTCATGTTTGTATCATTCCCGATTGTTCTCCGACCCTTTCTCAATGAAATGTGAGTGCATTCCATGTGCTTACTGAGTCGTGGGCTCATCTTTTCTTTTGTTCTCTCCTCTTCCTGATAACTCCACACGCTGTCCCTCACACTCCCTCATCACACAAGGTACCTTCTGGCTGAACGCGAACTTATAAAAAACTAAAATTACACTATCCGCCCCTTGTCTCATCTTCCAGATTATCTGGATCCTAAGCTTGTGTAATTAATGATGATTACTTTTACTGTTTTTGTTCATCTTATTTGCAGTCACGCAGTTGTATACAATTATATGTTAACTTAAATGTGTCGTATTTTCATCTTTGTTTTCACCATAAAACAAATGTTCTGATGCAGCTTACTTAGCCAAAAAAACCATACATGTTTAGAGAAATTTATATACAAATACAGTTCACAAGTCCTTTAGTAACATATAGATGGTCGTCTCATATCATCATTGTAAGTGCGGATTTCAACTGTCATCGCCAAATATCGTTAAAAGAAGTAGCAGGTAATGTGTCGCGTATTAAGAATATCCCCCAATTGTAAGCTCAATGTGCTCCTATTAATGAAATACATAAGTTTGTGAAGTAGTTGGGATCATGTTTCATACGAAGTTAATAGTGAGGACTTATTCTTAATACATGACACGTTACCCGTTGCTCCTTATGCCGATCTTCGTTAATGAATGTTGAAATTCGTATTTACAATGATGATCGACGAGGAACTTCTATCTGTTACTTAAGGACTTGTAAACTGTGTCTTTGTTTTGTTAACAAAATTCTTTAAACATGTGTGGTTTTTAAACCAAGTAGGCTGTATCAGAACATTTGTCCTGTGGTAGAAACAAAGATAAACACACGATACATATGAGCTAGGAGTATATAATTGTACGATATGTCAACGATTCAGAGTAAATTTCGGGGAAAAGTAGATAATACGGTGGAATTCCCAACGCAGGATCAAACTGTTTCCTCACAGCATGTGAAAAACAACTTTGTGTGCTTCATTCCGTACATTCCTAAGAAATGACCTTTTTGATTCCTCCCTCCTTGTTCGTTTGGATCCCGTACAAACCAAATAATTTTCCTATGTCATAGCCATCACACATCTAGTAATCAAAACGTATTTATTAAGTTTATTCTTTCACAACGAGTTGTTAAAATAAAAAGATTGTAATTGACATTTTAATTTTCGGTTCAGATTCTTATATAAAAAGAGATACTATTGAGGGTGCAGACAGCACTAATTCATACGAAAATTGTCGAAATACACGTATGTGGACCTGTAATAATTCATCTTTGAGTTTTATTCTTAAGCCAGAGCTAAGCTCTCTTCTTTTTGACAGTGACTTATTTACTTACCCTTGTTACCATTCATAAAACATAGATTGCCGACCAATTCGGCCTCGTGTGCTTTTATGGGTATGAGGGCGGGTGTAACTTCCCGGCTGCCCACACCGTGGAAGGGTACCGGTTGTCAGAAGTGGCATCGGCCTCATGACTTCTGAAAGAACTCGGTTTTCATCATAAGACATCATAACGCTTCTGAATAAAGTCCTAACTCCCAGAGCAAATTTTATGTGGTTTGGATCATTTTTCCACGTTAACGTTTTTTGGCGAGTTAGTTTTTTCCGGCATGAGGTCGCCAACCCACATCAACCCTCCTTCTTTATCCGGGCTTGGGACAGGCAGTAGCCCCGAAGGATCTACAGGTGTAGTAGAAGATATTCGTGATATTCATGAAGTCACTGACAAGTGGATTGAGTCATGTTAGTAGGTGTCGACTAGCAGGTTGAGGCCCGCGAGATGATTGTAATGAATGGTTAGAGACCCTGAATGACATGGCTCAAAACCATCTGCAATGGTTCAGGTGCATCCATTCGTTGTGTTCTCTCAAATTCTAACCTTCACAGTTCCTCGTCACCTTTATCTTTTGTTTTTAAGTTTATTTTATTAGATTCTACTTCTTGAATAATGTCTCCGAACCCTAATCTCTCCGATTACTGCCAGTGCTTCTACTATCTATACTACTGTGGGATTTGAATTGACAATCACGTCTCTGCTAATGTGGTACGGCAATTTAAACTGATGTACTTACGTACTAAGTTCTACGTTACTGTTGATGATTGTGATGAGGCCGCCGATCAGCATCCTCCAACCAAATATTTTCTGGACCTTCGTTCCCAGTTCTTCCCCATTATTACTTGTTCTTTTCATATCTGTTTCTAATCCATAATTATGTGTTCCTTGCTCGACCTCTTTCCCCTTTGCATTTAGGACTCCAAGTTGAAGCTAGGCTCGTGACGCAGTTGGGTGATTTCCGTAGTATCTTGTGTAAAAATTTGTTTATAAACAAGTGCATCTTGTGGATCAGAGCTTTTGTAGTCCTCCAGGTTTCCACGTTTTTGACATTTGTACTGCATATTGTGACTTTGGTCTTAGTTGACATAGTTTTGAGATCCAAATGTTCCTCAACTGTAGGAATGCTGACCTTGCGCCGTTAATCTGTGTCCTCACATCTGTACCAGTCAGATCCCCTTGTTTATCAGTGATGCTGTCCAGGTTTGTAAAGATTTCCACATTTTCCAAAGCTCTGTCAAGTGCACGACCGATCCTCAGGGAACCTGACCTGTTGGTCTGTTAGTTGGAGATCTACTGAATCTTTTTTTTCAATTTAAAAACGCTCTGTTGAGGACTTTAACCAGGTCCCTCCTAAGGTTACTGTTGGTTTCAGACCTGGACAAAGAAAGGGCGTTGAACATAGTTAAAAACCCCATCCTTTAGAATAGAAACTTGCAATAAAAACGCTAACTGGAAATCATCTTTTTGATAGTTTGCATTGACAGTTAGTTTGAAGTATGAGTTAAATGTTTATGAAAACTATGATCATTGTTTCTAGCATACTTTACTGTTAGATTATTGTAAATAGCATTATCAAGAACCAATCTGTGGAATCTATTTATCTGAATAATTTTATCTTTCAGATCTGGAAAATAATGCAAAATAAGATAAAATTTGCCTTTAATTTCATTCACAGCTTTAAAAGGGCAGCAGAAAAACGTTTAAAGGTAATGTGGTATTGTCCATTTCAATATCTAAATCCAACTGTAGCCTCATTTCGATCAGCGTAATTTCGCCAATGTTCTTGGCATAGAAACGAGTTGTGATGATACAGGTGCAGCTGTTATAGAAACATCAGGAAAACTGCTTGGGGATTGTCTGTCTTCACAATCAAAAATTAGTGTTATGTAACGAAAATAGTCACTGATCTTTAAACATTTTTTTAAGGTTAGGTGGTGTACTACCACCTATTGCAGCTGAACTTCACAAGGAAAATATCGAGTCAGTTGTAAATACTGCTATAGCCAAGTCTAATATTGGATTTCAGGTACTTTTGTTCATAATTTTACTGTAAGTAATTGATCTTTTTGTTAGGATTTAAATTATGTTGCTGTCACAGTAAAACCAGGTATGCCATTATCTCTAAAGGTTGGAGTTAGTTTTGCTAAATCTTTAGCGAATCAATTGAAGTAGTTTTAATCTCTCTATGTTGATAAATTATTTATTTATTAAAGGATTCCTATCATACCGATTGATCACATGGAGGCTCATGCACTGACAGCTTTGTTTACAGATTCTCAGTAAGCAATAATTTTCTGAGTATAAGTGCTATTTAAATCATGTGTCTGTGTATTCATATAACGCATTTGTAGCATTATCAAGTGCACTCGTGTAAAATCGAAAATTCTGGAAGTTACATTTAATAAGTATAGTTTAAATTTTGAATTGATGTATAATTACTATTCTCTATCCATATGAATTGCTGAACAAGATATCTAAATAAATGCTTCAACATAGTATTCTCAGGTTTTATTGAACACGAATTTATGGTGTAACAAAACATTAACTTGCCTGTTTTGGATGCTAATAATTATCAACTCTAGTAATTACTCAAACGGAAGCCAATTTCTTTATTTACTTACGTCTGTTACCCCCACTAGAGCATAGGCTGCCGACCAGCATTCCCTAACGTAGTCTTTCTTGAACATTCCTTTCCAGTTCTATCCAATATCTGTTCATTCTTCTCATGTCTGTCCGCAGCACTCAACGTAATATGTTCCCTAGTCTTCCCCTTTTCTTTTGACCTTAAAGATACCAAGTGAATGCTTGTCAAGTGACGCAGTTGGGTGATTTCCGAAAGGTGTATCCGATCCACATCCAGAGCTTCTTCCTGATTTCTTTGTCCATTGGTGGCCCCTTTGGGGTCGCAGCCGATCCCAAGCTCGTATGAGGTTAGCGACTCCATCCCGTAGAAAAGTAGCTTGCTAAAATAACGCTAATCAGAAAATCGATTCAAAATATAAGTTAGTTTCCCCTTTATTAGTGGGACATAGATTAGATTAAAGCATAATTGGTTTCTTGCACGCTGATTGGCTCTTTCGTGTCCAATCAGCGCTAGCCGATACTGGGGGAAAACTGTAGAATCTTCTCATGTAAAAACTATAAGTATACTAATGTTTTGAGCTTCTTCTGTCTTCCTTCTAACCTTGTTATTGGAATATAATCTATTTACTGTTCAACTGTGTTCTGATTCGGCAGAACGTCTCGAGTGAATTGGTGTCCGAGAATACTAAGCATTAAGAAAATCTGGGTTGTAATATAAAGAGAGAATTATAACACCCTTATTTGAAACGAACTTGCTATATCATTAATAGCAAGGAATTTGTAACATTTATATTATTAGATAAAAATTTCATGACTCCTAATTTAGTACAAATGGCGATTGTGTTTAGATTGCATGTGCTGTTAGCCTCAAATATTGCAAGTACCATTATTTCTTGTCTATTATCACTTTTCACTGAAACATCTAATTTCAAATTCAGTTCATTATGTACAATGATACTGGTGATTCAATGTTGAAATGTTGTTATACTCTAATCTGTATAATTATGTTTAAGTTCGAAATTATTTGCTAACTTGAATTTAATTTTCTACGAGGTTAGATTAGCTTGTACTTAAAAAAGTTTTTTGTGTTTAGGAATTTTCAACATTGAATTTGAGTTTTAGTTCACTGTATCTAATTAGTGATTAGATGATGAAAGTATACAGTCCTATTTGTTTCATGTTCTGCATAAGAATAATAAAATAATTAAAAAAAATACTTTCCCAATAAATGATTTAGGATGAAATAGTGTTTTTATTTTATTGTTTATTCATGTTTACAAATTCTTATGAAAAAAAAACATTTTAGGTTAAAATTTCCCTATGTAATCCTTTTAATAAGTGGTGGTCATGGCATTTTGGGCATTGTTCAAGGTTTGGAAGATTATGTTTTACTAGGTACAGCGTTAGATGCCTCTCCAGGTGATATACTTGATAAAGTGAGTGATGTGCTTTTGTGTAATTTCAAATATCTGTTACAATTTATGTTACTAACCCTCAGTCAGTCATTCAGTTAACTACAACGTAGAACTAGGTACATTCGTACATCAGTTCAAGCTGTCATACCATACCAGAACACTCGGAGATAGAATTGTCAATTCAAATCCCATTGTAGTAGAGGTAGTAGAAATATTAGCGGTAGTGAAGATTAGGGTTGGAAGATATGATTGGAGGTAATGCTTGCTCGCTGGTCCCAGGATATACGAGCAATGCTTCGAAGACGCCTATGATCAAATACTAGTAGCCTACGAAAAGTCTCTATTCTTGGTGACCATGTTTCACACCTGTATAGTAGGACGGAGCGAACTGCTGCGTAGGATATTCGTCTTTCGGTTAGTAGACGGACATCTCACCTACATCATAAGTGATGCAAGTTCGCAAAAGCCAGTCGAGCCTTCAGTATCCATGCTGAGGTTTCGTCAGACACCATGCTATCAGCACTGACGAGACTCTGAAGGTAAGTGAATCGGTCAACATCCTCAACTACTTTACTACCTACTACAAGTTGAGGTGCCAATCTTGAAGCAACATTTTGAATTTTGAGGGTGGTCAGAAGACCCTGCATTTTTTCAATGTCTTCACCTAATAGAACTATGTCATCTGGATATTCTACATGAACAAGCGAATCTCCTGTTAGATGGTCAACTCCTGAAAAGTCAGATGGTGACAGTATCCTATCTAAAAGCATTTCTGTGGCAAATTTAAATAAGAGATGGGATGGGGATCACTTACATGACTGCCTAACTGTTATTCTGGCTCTCCTCTTGACTTTTTTTTATCGTTAAGTAGAACTCGAAGGGTTTTTCTTGCTGTGTCTCTTTTACCTCCAGTAAGTCACAAAAATACGTGCTCATACTTGAGCATGATCTGAATCCAAACTTGTGCTCCAGACTGAGCGACAGTCTTTTGTCGAGCCTCTCCATCCGTTGTTAACAGCAATGTGGTCTAGTTGAGTCCAACATTAAGTCGATTTTGGGGGTCGGCATGTCAAAAGAAGTTTTTATTTATGCTCAAGGTTAGTATTTGCCAGAAATAGGCGGTTATCTGAACATAGTTGCATCTGTCATAAATACATTAAAATAAAGTACTAATCTATGTATTTTCTGTATTTATAGCTTTCTAGGCGTCTAAGATTAAATCGTTTGTCAGATGAACGTTTAAAAGGTGTCGCGGGTGGTAAAGCGATCGAAATAGTTTCACAAGCGTATAATGGTAATCATAAACGCTTCGACCTACCTTTGCCACGTTCACAATCTAAAGACTGTGATTTCTCATTTACTGGAATCCATGTAGCCGCAGAACAATTGATCAGTAAATTAGAATCCACAAGTCGCGGTATGTGATTGATTGTTTAACAAACAGATCAACTTGATTTATATCCGTACTTTTTTGAAATTGGTTTTGTTTTATGATACTCCTTTCAAGAAATTTCTTGCAATCTATCTATCCCTATGTGAGTAATGCTGCTCAAAATAAAATGCAAAGAAGAACTCTAACTTTAAGTAGTTCCCATGTGAATGAATATCATTCTTTCAAGACACAAGACAATAAAAAAAATTAAACATGAATTTTGTTTTAGTAAAGCACTTACGGAATTCACTAATTATCATTTTATTTTCTTAATAATTGGTTGAGTTTATTTGACCTGTAGAATTGATTTACGGTAATTACAAAACTTTATATTCACAGTTCGCCTCACAAAAAACAGTTATCAATATGATTTATTGAAATATATGTGAGTCTTAGTGTCTGCGATCAGTAACATTTTATAACGAATAAAAACACTTGAATAAAACAGATGTCAGAATTTAAGACTGTAAATGGAGCGTAGGCCGCCGACCAGTATTCTCCAACTTACTCTGTCCTGGGCTTCCCTTTCCAGTTCTGTCCAATTTTTGTACATTCTTCTCATGTCCGTCTCTATTTCTCAGCGTTATGCGTTCCTCGGCCTTCTTCTTTTCCTTTCTCCTTGAAGATTCCGAATGAGGGCTTTTCTTTTGACTTAGTTGAGTACTTTCCTCAAATTGTGTTCTATTCAGTTCCAGCGCTTATTACTTATTTCGTCGTCTGATGAAATCTGGTTTGTTCTTTCTCTATTTCTCGGCGTAATGTGTTCCTTGGCCTTCCTCTTTTCCTTTTGCCTTGAGGGTTCCATGTGAAGGCTTGCCTTGTGACACAGTCAGGTGCTTTCGTAGTATGTGTCCTATCCACTTCCACCACTTCTTCCTGATTTCCTCCTCCACTGGAATCTGGTTTGTTCTCTCCCACAGTACGTTGTTGCTGATGGTGTCTGGCCAACGAATCCGAAGTATTTTGCGTAGACAACTGTTAAGTAATACTTGTATTTTGTGGATGATGGCTTTGGTAGTTTTCCAAGTTTCCGCTCCACACAGTAGAACTGTCTTGACATTTCTGTTGAAAATTCTGATTTTGGTATTGATTGATAGTTGTTTGGAGTTCCAGATGTTTTTCAATTGTAGAAATGCTGCGCTTGCTTTGCCGATCGGTGCCCTCACATCTGTATCGGATCCACCTTGCTCATCAACGATGCTGCCCAGATATGTAAAGGTTTTAACGTCCTGCAAGGCATCTTCATCAAGAGTGATTTGGTTGGCGCACGTTGTGTTGTATCAAAGAATCTCGCTTTTCCCTTTAGGTATGCTGAAACCTGCTGCTACCTTGGTCGTCTTCTCTTGCATTTGTTGTTGTGTGTGAGATAGGAGAGCCAAATCATCTGCCAAGTCCAAATCGTCCAGCTGCATCCTGGCTGTCCATCGGATATCGTGCTTCACCTCAGATGTTGACGTCTTCATAATCCAGTCGATCATTATACTTCAATAAAAAGTGCCCGCGAAACAAAAAATAAAAGATTAGCGTAAACATTATGTTCTAAGTTTAGACGCTGAATCATTATGATCTATTCTGAGCCATTTCACCCAAGTTTACGAAACTTTCTGTGACCCCCGTAGTCTGCATCTACCAACGCGACTCGATCCTACAGCTGATGACTTCTTCCAACATACTTCTTCATTTGAAAACATCACTCATGGAAGTTGGAACACTTCAACTATTTCATCTATTCAAGCTAAATATCATCGGAAATCAATATTCAAATTACACTGATTCTAATCATATTCATGCAAATGACATACGTAGTAATGATTTAACAGTTTACATCAAACCAGCATAGAAAAAATGATAAAAAGTTACCTTTAAACGCGTTGAGTAACTATATTCTTAAAAGCTATAATCGAGAATTAATCAGAATAATATTTGAGTACATTAGCTGGTAATGTGATAGCAGGTTTAGAGAGAGAGCGAGAGAGACTAAAATGACTGTAACTAAGCATGTGCATTAATCGTATTAGACGATCATCAATACGACGTATGTATTCGCGCATTTAAGTCGACAAGTTAATTTAAACTGTACAAACTAACAAGGATTGTACAAATTGATTGAGATTATGAGAGGTATGAGTAATTGGCGAAAATCATTTACAATGTACGGATGGGAATTTTAATTTTGTGTGTATATAAAAGAATAAAATTCAAGTTTACTGGCTGATCAGTTCTCATAAAATCTATGTTGGAAATAAGAATTTATAAAAGTAATACTTTTCTTAAAAAACTGATGATTTCCATTTCAGACATCCAGTCAGAAAGTCAGGAAGTTATATTGTCAGCCATCAGTACCTTTATTCATCTAGACTCACACACACACACACACAATTCAAATGGTCGTATTATGTACAGTACGCCGAACGGTAACTCAGTGGATAAAACGTTTGACTTTCAGCCATTAAATCATAGATTTGAACCCCTCTCGATCTGGATAACTGAGTAGTATTAGTAGGCCCACGTAGAATGTAGCTTGAAGCCTCGAACTTGGCATCCAGGAAAGGAGTATATACAATATAAGGTTATAAATAATAAATCTCATGAAACATATACTCAATATTTTTCAAAAGAGAGAAAACATAACAACAAAGAGAATTTTCTTTTCGACCATATCATTTTTTAAAGTTGTACAATCGTATTTTTCGATAATCTTTCACGTAGGGGTGTGTAGTGAAATAGGGGGGTTTGACAAGGCTAAGGGCAGTAGTCAAACTTATGCAAATGGAAGACAATGAAAACGAAGTGATGTGTAATATGGTCAAGATTATCATAAGGTTTCAAATATTGACTATAATAAGATAGTGGTTTCGACGCATAACTGAATAACACAGTTGATTCTAATTTGTAATCGGTTAAAAATGTGGCCACACAATAGTTTACAATTAGAACACATTAGAAATGCCATGAAACAATGTATCACCATATACTTATGTCGAAAATAACGCGAACTCGTTTTCAATATTCTTTCTTTTTTTCTCATCTTGGTTACATTTTCTACTTTATTGGATTTTTTTTCTTCTTGAAAATGAAAATTTCAGATAGTGGATGCAGTTTATCAATTCAAGACATTGCTGATATTTGTGCATCTGTGCAGTTCTGTATGACACGATTAATCTGTCGGCGTGTACAACGCGCCATTGAATATTGTTTATTGAACAATGATTGTAGATCCAGTGTAATTAGAGATTATCCTACAGCTTTGGTAAGATGAGTGTGTGTGTGTGTGTGTATGATCATTATATCATCAGTTTTGTTTGTGTTATAATCATCACCATTTCATACCGACAGAGTAAATCACAAGAGTCTACTGTTGAATATTTTAGATCTCAGTTAATTATTATTGGGATGTTATGATTCTTATATCATTTAAATTATTTTTCTGCTTAGCGTCTTCTTAGCTAGGGCTTTTCTTCTAAGGATTGTGGTTATCAACCCTTCTTTATCCAGGATTGGAACTAGTCGTAATTCTAGAAAGCCTTCAGGTGGAGTTGTGGATAACTTGTAAGCTCTACTAATAATAAAGACATCATCCATGTATCTTTTATATAAGTGGAAGTTGTCAATCATCATTTTAAATTGATTGTTTTACAGACCGTCAATAGAACAATCTGCTAGTAATGGACAAGGATGGGATCACATTAGTGGAAAGCGAAATTTAATTATGTCCTTCGCCATAAGCATACAAAAAATTTGTAGTCCCGAGTTCATTGATAATGAACTGAACCTACTAGAGGTAATACCAATCAAAACCCGGTATCCATCGGTATTCATTGACAAAACCATAAAACGTAAACCTCTAAAACCACAAATATCCTCCGTAAAAAAGAAAATTCTTTATATGAACATTCGACTCTCGCAACAAAACATTTTTCGCAGCAACTTCACGACTAGTTAGTTTTCTTGCACCAAACGATGTTCGACAATAGATTAAAGGGTAAATTCTCTCATTTGACCAATTCCATATGGGTTTATCAATATAATTGTTCATGTGGATGTGGATGGATAAATTTCCATGCAAAATTCAATACTTTCTACCTCAAATGTGATTGTTTCGTCCATAAATTAGTCTCGCTACTATAAATATACTACCTAAAATGTTCCCAAAAGTTTTTAGGGATGAATTGGTTACTGAATATTAGAAAGTAGTATAACGTACTAAACAAAAAAGTGCTGAATTATTTGTGAATGTACATGAACTTAACGATAGGAATAGCTAATTTTTATGTTTATGGCACCCATATGTGTCTCCTGGGTTATACAAATTCTTCACACTTTTATTTCAAATTCGAAAATACTTTCCCCAGATAACGCAGTGAAAATCTGTTTGTGGCACTGAATGATAGAGATTTAAGTCACTGATAGTTTTATGAGTTTCGTTGACGACTGAAATGTTCATTGTTGATCAGCAACTAAAGCTACTTAACTTGAATTTACAACTTCTGATAAGTAAAAATCATGGATTTTAAAAATTTCGTTCACGAATTTTTTTTCTCATGAGAATGTCATCCGAATCAGTTAAATATTAATTTTCTGCTTGATTTTAGCAAATAGGTAGGTGGCTTATATAAAATTTCATTAAGAATTAAAAATGCTGACTTGATATTTTCTTGCAATATACCGTTTCGTAAGACATGTAAACTTTTATTATTTGATTCTAATGTATTCACAGTATTGATCGTATGCTATGCAACAATGGACTAAGCGATATCAAGTTTAAATTCAGAGTGTTAGTAAATATGCCGAATCGGTTGTTGAGGCTGTGAATCTTCGTTGCCTGACGTAACTGGATGTATACCTCATTGAATAATGCTAATTCACGTAAGTGAGATTAAAGAAGCTTAGAAACACTCTGAAGTAAGGTATCAATCTGTTCAGTTGCTATATGTTAGTCTGAACCGTGTTGATTAGTATAGACTCTCACGAAAGGGTTACGTTCAATAGTTGTGATTAGAAGTTAGGATATAAATAGTTCCGAATGAGTCTCAAAACAGCAATTGAAACTGTTCCCTTCCTGCTCCCCTCTTCAATTTCTAATTGTCGATTTTACCTCACTGTACAGACTCTACCATTCAATTTGTCATGAATTTATTTTGCACATGTCTCTTTCCATACTCAGCATTAAATCAATAATTTTTTATAGGTTGTTTCTGGTGGAGTTGGCTCCAATCATGTTATTCGTGCCGGTCTAATGGAAGTAGCTAATCATTATAAATTGAAATTTGTTGCTCCTCCACCAAATCTATGTACTGATAATGGAATTATGATCGCATGGTAAGAATTAAAAGTTTATGATTAAAATATGTTGAGTATTTAAAAATGGTCTCTTTCTTAAGAAGTAACTTTATCATATGTCTCATTATCATTATCATACCACAGTTCTAAATATTAATTCAACAAGTCAAATGTATTTCTACATTACTCTGATGATGTCTGTAAATGCAATGGACAATTTATCTTGAATGTGCGTTTCATGCTTGCACTCACTAACAGAAGTGCGCGTTTGCAATCAATCGATTCGACTTTATGCATTTTTTACCGTTCATTAGCTGAGATATCCATACTAATCGGTTGGCAAGTGATTAACTGCATGGACTATTGAGAACGCCTCTAACTATTGTAGCGATGACGTGAAGTTGAATTCCTCGGAAATCACCAGTTTTTACAAAATTGCTGATATGCTGTACTAATGATTAAATGCCACTTGTTTGCAATTACCATTTACACACAGTGTATCACACGGTCTAGTCAGTTAGCCCTTTTTTAGTTACACTGCAACCAACACGAAGGTGCTGACGCAACCATAACCGATTTGTGTTGACTTAATCGTTTTACATCTGGATAATCCGTAAAAAGTAGTTTTAACTCATTTGTGTTGCATAATATATGAAACCCACATGGTTGGCGCATGTTGTACTGTATCGCAGAATCTTGCTTCTACCTTTAAGTATGTTGTAACCTGTTGCTGAGGCTGTTGTCACACTGGTCGTCTTCCCTTGCATATGTTTTTGAGTGTACGATAGAAAAGCCAGATCATCTGCGGAGTCCAGATCGTCTAGCTGCATCCTGGCTGTCCACTGCATACTGTGCATCCCTCCAGATGTTGACGTTTTCATAATTCAGTCGATCACCAGGATAAGAAGGGCGCGAGTAAGCAACGTTGCATGACACCGGTCTTCACCTCGAACGAGTCTGTCAGCTATCCTCCGTGCCCGAATTTGCAGTTCAATCCATCATATGAATTCCGTATGATGTTGACTATTTTCTCAGGCACGCCGTAGTGTCAAATAGACCTCCATAGTGTTTTCCTGTCCACGCTATCAAATGCTTTCTCTTCGTCAATGAAGTTGATGTTCCACAATGATCCTTAATGTTGCGTTTCGGTTAGTACCCGATCGATCCTTACGAAAAAGCATATATAGAGCATACAATATATCTGTTCATCGGTCTTAGCCAAAAATGTTTGTGCAAAGACAGCGTTTTATTCATGATTCTACTGTATTCTTGACCTTCCTTTCTGTACTCTATAGTCTGTAGCTTCTACTCCTTTCTAGATAATTATCACATCTATTAATAAGTCAGTTTTAATTCATTTGATTGTTTCTTTGTGAATTTTTATCAAGTAGTTAAAATATCTTCACCTCAACATTTTTCACTAGCAGATAGATTCAAACTTAATTCCCTCTAAATATTTGATGCTTTTAAACAATTAATGACACTGACTGCTAGCGAAGTAAGCAACGCATACACACTCGAACAAAAACAACCAAGATATGAGCGAATGATTGACAAGGTCATAAGGCAAGTGAATAACAACCCGAAAAGAATGGATTGATTAAAACTGAACACAGACTGAGACATACTCGACATAAAAGTACATTTCACTACAACACAAAACCACTCCAATCTCTTTAAAAATTATTCAACACCAATTTATATTACAGCAGACCATTATTAGTTTAGCAAATAAATATTAAGATATATTACCGAGTAGATCAAGTAAGTGAAACCTTCGAAAAGGAAGTTTTACCACCAAATTTCTTTCGGAAATTGTTGGGTATGTTAGATACCCATAACTCGCTAGATAAATATCTTTATTTCGTGAACAGACCAGTTGACCTTGACACCACAATTCCCACCAGGAAAATCCTTGGTCGTGATTGGTTACTGTGTCATTTGTGACTGTCCCAAGGATGTCTCTATAGGGTATAAATAAACGCGCTTTGAGTGCTTGGATTCATTGTGTGCTGGCTGGGTGTTTGTAGAATACAATTTCTACACTATATCAAGACTTCTCGCTGATACCTTTTAGTCAAAAGATCACAGTAGCCTACCTGGACGCTGGTTCATTGTTTTGTCCTCGTTATTCGATTAAGGTGAACTCGTAATAGTTTAAGCATACCTAGAGACGAGTGTAACAGAAATTTCCAATGCCACATCAGTAGGTCTGATTCGTTACTTAATCAGAAATTGATAAAGGAATATTCTTTGCTGTTATCTCCCTTAACGGACTACCATCATCAATAAAAGATTAGGGTTTTGTGAGAAAAAGATCATGACAAATATTCGGCATGATACATTACAATTGATTGATTGGAAATGTGTTGCGACTGAATTTATATGATGTGCCCATAATCATCATCTCAATAACTACTGAAAATAGAATCATTCATGGACAGCAGTCATTTGTTCTAAAGTGCATTTTATTATAACCCATGCTTATTTTACATTCAATACTTTCAAATACTGTTTTATTGATGATTTCTAACTAAGAATTTTTTGTATTGTTGTTTGTCACTATTTATAAGGAATGGATATTTACTTCAAAAAGAAAAGTCTTCTCGTATCATAAACGATGTCTCTTCTGTGGATTTCTGTCCAAGGTTAGATCGATTCGTTTGAGTTTTGCATATTTTCATGGAAATTAATTGTAATTTCATCAGTGCAAAACATGGATTTTGGAAATAATTCACTTCAATGACACAAGTATTTGTTGTCAATAATGACAGTATAGCCGTTCAAAATAATTGACTCTTATCTGTCGATAAAAGTTGTGTCATTACCCGTGTATGAAACAGAAGTAGTAAAACGTATGTAAACGTGTATGTTAACAGTTTCAGACAGTGAATCGTAAATATCTAAAGTAACCGATGGAAGTATTGGTGTGTGGAAGTTTACATACCTCGCGTTAACACATTGATAGCGAAACACTAAGATGAAAAGCAAGGTTTGAAGTGATTGTGTCAATTATAATTAACCAACTAAACAGTTTGAAAAATACGCAATACAATTGGTTTCCATCTATGTCACCTAAGGTTTTCAATTGTGGACTTAGAAACCCCAAATAAGAACTTTGCGCCTAGCAAATAATGATTTTATCGAACTATTTATGATATATCGTGGCTTAGCTCCCTCCATTCTTTCAATCTAACGCTGTGTCATCCAGTGTATAAGGTGTCAGTAGCAAGTGTGATGTATTTTTTATGGAATGAGTGTTTATAACCTCATGAATCGATCCATCAAAGTTATTTAGTCCTCCATACATAGTGTCAGCATTACGCCTCCTAGATCGTTTGCATCATAACTGAGCATTCATTCAAATACATCCATGAAAAAATCCTATCAAACGACGTGTGAAGTATATATTCAAATGTCATATTTCATAGTTAGGAACGGCAGTACTGGTACTTTTCATGCTTTTGAATGTTTCTCTCTCATACTAAACTCATCTGATACAAATGTTTATACTTGATTATTGTAGAATTTCATTGTAAACTATCGTGAATAAAACAAGCTGTCCTATAGAATAATTACTTAAGTTGTAATAAATTCCTCTTCTGGCTATTAGCCCATTAACCACACATTTAATATATATAAATTTAAAGATGACTGATAGTCATCTCTATGCGATATTCCGACAAACATCTTAATCAACCAAACAAATATTATCACACATTATTTTATTGTTACTCGGACTTGAAAATCGAAACTATCCAAGTACTAATGTGATTGTTTTAAAAAAATATACTTTCTCCTCTCTCATCATCTACAGATCTAGATTTGGTGTTGATTGTCGAGATGAACTAAAACAAGCCAGCATTTCCATTGAACCAATTAAATTACCAGATACAATTTTTCAATCATCAAATACCTGATTTCTTATTTAAACGTAGAAATATGTGTTTTGATGAATAATAATATGTATATAAAATCAAAAGTAATTGAAAACATTTTATTATGTAATATTGACTAAATACAATGAAATTTATTCAAAGAACTTTTGTTTAAATTCAACCGAATAGGTTTCACAGTAGTTACAACGTACATCAATAGATAATCAGTTGAACTGAACTCTCCACATACAGCACTTTTGATGTTTCTGTCAGTATTGCATAAGCGAATTCAATAAAAAAAAGTACATTTTCTGGTCGTATATCGTGACTGTAAATGGATTTAATTGTCTTCAACTGGATGACGATATCAAAACAAGTCTAATGGACTGTTCCTAAGTGTAAAATGTTTTAGTTTTACGATGTAACGTGTAGCTCGATTGTTTCACCGAATACGTGACGTATAAATCTCAGGAGAGTATGCAAGTCCTGACTAAATCAATTTTATTTCTTCCTTATTGCTCAATCAAAACCTGGCGGTAAATACTGAAACAAATCATTACGTCCAAACCACTGACTGATCTCTGTCTGATGTTCAGAGAAATTACTTCATTTGTGATGCCTCCAAATTCACTAACAACAATTAGGACAGCGCTTGTCATTGAAGGTTTGCAACTAAACGGTCAGTCAGTCAGTCAGTCAGTCAGTTGCAACGTGGAACTTCGTACGTATGTACATAAGTTCATGTTGCCATACCACATTATTAGCACAGAGACGCAAATGTCAAATCAAATCCCATAGTGATAAAGATGGTAGACGTATTAATGTTATAATAAAGAAGACTAGGGTTTAAGATATTATTCAAAAAATATAATTCAGTGAGATAAGGTTAGAAAGACAAAGGTAGAGGTGCTGGCTAATCCAGAAGATTAGGATTTGAGAGAGCTCAAAGAGTGGATGCACCTGCGCCATTGCAAACGATTTTGAGCCATATCGTTCAAGGTCTCTAACCATTGATGACTTTCGTCTCGCGGACCCTAACCAGGTAGCCTACATCTACCAACATGACTCAGTCCACTTGTCAGTGACTTCATGGATTTCTGCCATGTTTTGGTCTGGCCGCCCCTAGCTTTCTTCCAACCTACTCCTACACCACAAAACATAGCTCGTCGAGGCAGTCGGTGGTTAGGCATACGTAACACATGTCCCAACCACCTCAACTGATGAAGTTTCACCACTTCATCGATTGATCTGCCATCCTTACCTAGTACTCGTTTCCTAACGACAGCATTGCTTACTCGGCCGTCCCACGGTATACGAGCAATCCTTCTTAAACATCTATGATCGAATACTAGTAACCTACGAACATCTTCTACTCTTAACGGCCATGTTTCACAGCCATATAAGAGAACGGAACGAGCTGCTGCGCAGTACACCCGCCCTTTGGTTAGCGAACGGATATCACGCCTACGCCATAAGTGACGCAGGTTGGCAAAAGCCAATCGAGCTTTCTGTATCCGAGCTGAGATTTCGTCAGTCACCAGACCGTCAGCACTGATGAGACTCCCCAGATAAGTGAAGTGATCTACACGCTCGACTACTTCACTCCCTATCACTAGTTCAGGTGCCAATGCAACCCAGTCTTGAAGCAACATTTTGCATTTCGAGGGGGAAAACCGCATCCCGAACATGCTCGCATTGTTGCTTAGGGTAGTCAGAAGACTCTGCATTTTGTCAGCGTCTTCACCGAATAGAACTATGTCATCGGCATATTCTAGATCAGTAAGCGACTTTCCTGGTAGAAGGTCAACCCCTGAGAAATCTGACGAGCTTAATGTTAACTCTAAGAGGATGTCTACGACAAAGTTGAACAAGAATGGAGAGAGTGGACATCCCTGACGAACACCACTTGATGTAGAGAATTCAGATGACAGTTCGCCATATGCTCTCACCCGACCAGTGGTGTTCGAGTAGAGAGCTTGTATGAGGTTAATGTACTTATTTGGTACACCTTTCAATGACAGACACTGCCACAGAACCTCACGATCCACTGAGTCAAATGCCGCCTTAAGGTCCAGGAAAACAACTATTGTAGGACGCCTAAATGTGTGTCTGTGTTCCAAGACCTGTCGTAGTGTGAAAATGTGGTCTATACAGCCAAGTCCAGGTCGAAAACCAGCCTGGTTTTCTCGAGTCTGCTCTTCACGAGCTTTCGTTAAGCGTCGAAGTATTATTGAGGCCAATATTTTAGATACTATATTAGTTAGACTTATTCCCCTGTGATTGTCACAAGAAGACTTCTGTCCTTTCTTATAGATTGGGACAATCAGTGATTGAGACCAGTCGGATGGGATTACGTCCAGTTCCCAGATTCTACCTAAGATCTCAGTCAACCTAGCTGCTAAAACGGGACCACCATCCTTAAATATCTCAGGGGTCAGTCTATCAGGACCTGCAGCTCGTCCTCGCTTCAGATTTCCTAAAGCTTTTTCAACTTCATTAAGACTAGGGGGACTCACGTCGATTTGCCATTCAGGATGACTGGAGATCGTGGGTAACCAAAGAGTGGCTCGAGGCCAGTTGAACTGATCCCTAAAGTGTTCTGCCCATCGATCCAGTCTCCTGGGTTGAGAATAAATAATAGTCCCGTCATACTCTGAGATAGTCTCGCTTACACTAGGATTCCTAATACCAGTTTCCTTGATAAGTCGGAAAAGTTGTCTACTGTTGCCGATCGCCGCTGCCTTTTCCATCGCTTTTGCTTTCGCCACCCACCACTGTTCGCGATCGTTACGTAGGCTTTTTATAAGTCTGCGCCTAAGTTGAGTACGCTCTTCATCATGTTCAGAGCCAGGTGGGATGCGTTTTCGTGCATCCATCAGTTCGGTGGATGCGACTGAAATCCACGGCTTCATCCTAGCCTTATGGTTTACCTTGCTAGCAGATATCACTGCTGTTTCCACAGCCTTCTTTATATCATTCCAACCTGACTCCGGATGGGAATCACTTGCATGATCGCCCAACTGTTTTTCTAGTTCCTCCTGAAATACTTTCTTAGCTTGATTATCATCAAGTAAAGCCCTAAGAGGCTTCCTTACGGTGTCTTTCCTACGTCCAGCAAGCCTCAAACAAATACGTGCTCGCACTAGGGCATGATCTGAATCTAAACATGTGCCCCAGAACGAGCGACAGTCCTCTATCGAACCCCTCCATCGGTGGCTGATGGCGATATGATCTAGTTGTGTCCAACGTTGAGACGCCTTCGGGGGTCGCCAGGTCAAAAGGTGTTTTTCCTTATGCTTAAAATTAGTGTTTGCTAGAAATAGTTGGTTATCTGAGCACAGTTGCAACAGACGGTCGCCATTGTCTGTTCTTTGAGCCGCGAGACCGTAACATCCACCTAGGTGTCTTTCATTTTCACTTAGTCTACCTACTTGTGCATTGAAGTCACCAGCCATTATAACTATATCAGAGCGCTTAACGTTTTGGAAGAGGTCCGAAAGCTTTCTGTAAAACTCATCTTTTACATCATCTGGGCTGCAGTCAGTGGGGGCGTAGGCTGATATGACGAAGAGGCAACGGCGAGTGTCCCTATCTTTCCGAGTCCTTACTGTCCCGTTCAGTCGGACGGCGCACAAGCGACTATCTACAGGGATCCAGTCAAGGAGAGATTGTTCTGCCCTACGACTCAATGCTATACCTACACCGGCGAGGCCCCTAGAAGCAGCATCAGGGCTACCGGATACACGAAGGGTAAATCGAGCTGCTTCTTTATCTTGACATGGTGAGGTCAAATGAGTGATGCTACTCGGATCCTGTATGCGCGTTTCCGAGACGCAGCACACATCGATGGAACGAGATTCTAAAGTCCTAGCTAATGACGCCTGTTGCCCTATTTGACACAATGTCCGTACATTGAATGCTCCAACATGTAGTTTGGAACGGGGTTTAAGGAGACCAGGAACGACGTTTCGCAAACTCGCATCGTTTGCATTAGCTGTGCACTGTAATAAATGAATGTGAGAAGAGTTAGTTGTGGAGATAAGAGAGGTATTAGGGAATATGGGAAGGATTTGATTTTGAACAATTTTGTCTCGCGTGCTGTTGCGGGTATGAGGGCGGTTATCACTTCCCGGCTGCCCACACCGTGGAAGGTTGTTTCTTGACGAACCTGAAAAGGAAGATGGATTAGTGTTGGTGCGTGACCGCAGAGTCCAAGGGACAACTGCTTCAGGCCGGTCACGCACGGCCTTTTTATGAGAGGTATTTAGAGGATTAGCTCCGTTCTTAAAGGCCCTTAGTGGGCACCCTTACCCAAGGAGACGGAAATCCGTGAGGTAGGGGAGGTGTGACATTTTTAGGGCCGACCTTTTCTAACCCTTCCTTCCTTGTGAGAAGGCAGCATCGCTGCAGATGCTGGTTGTCCGAGGGAAACACCTTACTGCTGTCACACCCCTCTGCAGTCAGCAGTACGACTTCGCCCTCAGACCTTGGCTAGCTGCTTTTAGTCTCATCGTTCTCCAATCGACCTGCCTGGCATGGTAGGACCTGCAGGAACATATGTTCCAGCCAGTATAGCTCGGTTGGGTCATCACGATAGGCAAGCCCGACCACCACGTCAAGGTAGCAGCTTCGGTCGGGATACATGCATCATGAAATGATAGACAAAGCAGAGAAAAGTCACGGTTAACACCTCAAAGGCGTAACCTATTGCTGTTAGTAGGAGCAGGGGGATACATGCATCATGAAATGATAGACAAATCCCCCTGCTCCTACTAACAGCAATAGGTTACGCCTTTGAGGTGTTAACCGTGACTTTTCTCTGCTTTTAAATTCCAATCATTATTTTCATGTCTTCATAGCAGTTTTAGTTTTTATTTCTAGCAGACAGACAAATTGGCAAGCCTGTAGATGCTGATCAACTACTGTCAATTACAAGGAACTCAAACACCATGTATAATTGTGAGTATCTTCTTATTTACGTATTAACAGTTTAACTAATTTTTATTTCCCCAATTCATTTACATCCAAACACCTTGCCTGCTTACCAACTTATCGCTTTACTCATTAATTTTTAACATTATTTCAACTCTTTTTTCACTTTCTCCTCGTTCCAGCTCCCTGTCCTTCCTATTTCCAAACTACCTATTGACTGACTCATCTTACAAATCATACCATTCGTTTACTTAAAATCAGTGTGATATGCTTCGTGGATATTTTCTCTGGCGAAGTTATCTGGATGGCCTGTAATATGGAGCTAGTAGAGAAAGTGAATTCCGATAAGGTTTACAAAAAAAATTAGAGTAGACTAGAGACGATTATTTACAATCAACCATTAAACGTAAGAGAGCCTAGCATCACAAAAGGAGGGAGGGTGGTGTATCTGACCAGCATTCATGACGGTGGGGCGATAACCTCAATCTACCCATGTCTGTGTGGCAGAACATTTTGTTTGCTTACGGCTCCTTACGATATGGCAGGATGTAACAAATCAGTGATATTGATGTTACTTTTCCTAGTTAACCTCGTCTACAACTCATGTCTGTAACCTTGCACTGGTTTTTACTTCCTACCGAGAAATCCTATTACAAGCTGGTCTGGATAACTATACTAAAAAAGAGCTCATTCATAATTTCTTGAGCTGCCGAGTTAAAAATAAAAAATATAT